CCCCGGGAGTTTCTCCCTCAAGCGAGCCTCGGGGCTCGCGCCGGGGATGCGGGCGGCCGCGGCCCCCATCACTCGGCCGGCTTTCAGCAGCAGGTCGCCCGGCCCCGGGCTGAGTCCTACTTTTAGCGCGGGATCTGAGGAGCTGCAGCCGAGGAGCTGCAGCCGAGCAGGGCGTGGGAAGAAGACTGGCTGGGTCAGCGCGTCAGGTCTGAGGCGCTTCGCTCCCAGAGAGGCTGGGCGTCCGCGAGTTGGCGGAGGGGCGAGTGGGCGGGGCGGGCGAAGACCGGGGCGGGGCGAGTGGGAGGGGCGGGGCGGGCGAAGACCGGGGCGGGGTGAGTGGGAGGGGCGGGGCGGACGAAGACCGGGAGGGGGCGGGGCGAGGGGCAGGACAGAGGTTTGGGGCGGGGATAGGGCGGGAGTGGGGCGGGGAAAGGGAGGGGAAAGGGCGGGGGCGAGGCCCTTCAGTCTAAGTGCCGCGTACTTAGAATTAGTCACTATAGCCTGACAGGTGTGGCTCAGTTGGTTGAGGTCCTCCCATGCACCAGGAGGTTACTGGTTCTGTGTCCGGCTCCGGGTCAGGGCACATGCCTGGGTTGTGGGCCCGATTTCCAATACAGGGCATGCAGGAGGCAGCCAATGGATGTTTGTATCTCTCTCTCCTCCCTTCCTCTCTCTGAAACCAATAGAAACATATTTAAAATAGAATAAAATTAGTCACTACACCTGAAGATTTACAGGTCTTTCCCAAATTTGACAAGAACCCTAAAAATTAACATGGTATCAGGCTTTTCCACTTACCCAATACATTCAATAAAAGCTTTACAACTTAAAGAACATTGTTTAAACTATCCATGAAAAGTTAGTCAATCTTGTAAAAACTGAATTCTCTTCTTTATTTATAGAAAGATAACAAAACCATGTCTTATGAGATGATCAAAGAATATACAGCAAAAATATGTGAAGAAAAATTATTATAGTCCTTTATTATGCAGCTAATTAAAATACACTGTTTCTAGATTGTATGTTTGTAATATTTGTCAGCTTTTTAAACTTTGTAATTTGTTATGTATTATGTTATTCTAAATTTTTTTCTTTCTAATCGAATTCTGTATTTATGACTCTGTATTTATCTTCCTTGAGAAAAGAATACCCTACATTTTAAAAGCTTCAATCGCTACAAAACCTGGTTCTGTCCTTGCCCAACCCTGTTCCTTTCGCGCCCTGTGCTCTAGCCGTATTGGAGTTCCTCTATGCCCATTGCTTAGGAAAGTGCCTGACACATAGCAATACCAGAAAAATATTTGTAAATGAATGACTCAAAAACTGGAATACTAGAATGTTAACTACATGAAAACAAGTTTTGTCTGCTTTATTCGTTGCTACATTCCCACATGTAGAATAGTGGCTGGCATACAGCTGGTGCACAATAAGTATTTTTAAAAATAAATCCAGGCCTGTTAAACTACAAACAATGCTTCTTTCCATTGCCTGCGGTTAGTCCCAGTTTTCAAAGCATTTCCCCTAGATCCTCCTCACAGATTTAAGAGGTGTCATTTTCATTTTAGAGTTAAGGTTAAGTGGAGGCTCAGAGAAGTGACTTGCCCCAGGTCACTCGGGGGCAGAGTTGAAATTTAAGCGCAGATCTCAAGGGCCAGAAATCCTTAGCTGTCTTGGCCCTCCCATAATATGCCCCACAATAAGAAAGCAATTGGTGAAAGAGCGAGCCAGTCCTTCAACCCGGAGCAAGCCGTATCCCGGAAGACTTGCTGTGCATGAACAGCAGGTGGCGCCCATCCACAGAGTAGTTCCTAGTCTAATAGTATTTGGTTAAGAGACACAAAAACATTTGTCAAACACCAAACTTTGAACTGCCAGTTTAATTTGCTCTCAACTATCCTGCTTTTGCTTCCTTGGCCATTGATTTTTTGGGGGGCCTGGATTAGAAAAATCTAGTCTTTCCCTCCTAAGGGAAAAACCCAGTTCTCCACCTCCTGTGTAGTTTTCCTTTACTTTTACACGGAATGTGTCACTTCTTCTGGTCACCCAATGTGTGGGTGTTTTTCCTCAACCCAAGCAATCCTCTATGGCAACAGCTGGGTGTCCTTCAATTTAACACAGTTCTGACATCTATTTGGAGACCCCACAGGTTAAGGGCTCAGTCCCACAAGACTGTTCACACCCCACTTCAGATCCAATCAGTAGTAGTAGGTCCCCAGGTTACCTACAACTTCCATCCAACTTGGCTACAAATCAGAGGTTTCCTTGACTCCCTTCTTGGTTCAACTGATTTGCTAGAATGGCTCACAGAATTCAGAGAAACACTTACTTAACCTTTTCCAGTTTATTAAGGAATACAGATGAACAGCTAGATAAAGAGATACACAGGACAAGGTCTGGGAGGGTCCTCAGTGCAGGAGAACATCTACATCCTCCTGCTATGTGGATGTTTCCCAAACTGGAAGCTCCCCAAATTCCCTACTAGTTGGATTTTATGGTGGCTACCTCATGTAGGCATGAACAATTATTACCTCCATTTCCAGCCCCTCTCTTCTCCCTGGAGGATGGGGCTGAAAATTCTAAACTCCTAATCATGGCTTGTTCTTTCTGGTGACCAACCCCTATCCAGGAGCCCACCCAGAGTCAATATAACTTAGGAATTTACAAGCGTTTTAGAAGCCCTGTGTCAGGGTCAAAGACAAATATTAGAACAAGAGGTGCTCCTAGTGCTCTGAGGACAAGGAAGCTGGTCTGTTGAGAGAGAACGGAGCATGTGTCTGACACCCTGGCACTCACCAGACCCTCCCTCTCTTCTCCACATTGCCCAGCTGCCTCCTGAGACAGGCATGACTTATTCTATCCAATGGGCTGTGGGAGGAAGGGACCTATATCACTTCTTGTCTAACCGTCACAGAACCAGTGTGTGACTCTACAAATGTATCTTCCTTGCTGTGGCATCTGTTGGTTCTGGGAGCCTTGAGAAGGGGATGCTGGCTGGTACCATGGGGAGGAATTGCTGCTGTGAGGTGAAGAAGCATTGCTGGTGGTGCTCATAGGGACAGGAAGCTACAGAGAACAAAGATGAAGAAGCAAGTTCTTTCCCCCTCCTCCAGGCCTGGGGTGTCCCTCTAGCCCCACCCTGATCATTGATAAAATTAAACAAACTCTAACTTGGAGTACTGGTAACTCAGAAATGTGGTTCATGGAGCCCCGGCCCCAGCCCCAGCCCCAGCCCCAGCCCCAGCCCCAGTATCACAGTGCAGGTTTTTTGAAGTATTTATTTTTAACTGTTTTAAAATATAACACAAATATTACCCTTTTCACATTTGTAAGCATACAGCTCAGTGGCATCAACATTCACACTGTTATGCCACCATCACCACCATCCATCCAGAGTATTTTTCATCTCGCAGATCTGAAACTCTGTACCCATTAAACAACTTCCCACCCCCCACTCTCCAAGCTCCAGGAAACCGCCATTCTACTCTGTGTCTTTATGGATTTGACTACTCTAGGCACATCATATAAACAGAACCATACAATATTTGTCCTTTTGTGACTGACTGGCTTATTTCACTTAGCATAATGTCTTCAAAGGTCATCCATTTTATAGCATGTGCCAGAATTTTCTTCCTTTTTAAATGGCTGAATGAAATTCTGTTTTATGTTTATATCACATTTTGTTTATCCATTCAGCTGTCAACAGAGAAGTATTTTTATATTATCAAACATGATATTAAAAATTCCAGGTTAGTCTGACTATAAATATTGTGCATATAATGCAAACCCCCACACTTCATGCCTATATGCAATGGGTTCACTTTTTCAAAACCATAAAAATAATATTCTAACAACGTGCAAGTTGATTTTCAAAAATAAAAAGGCCTACCAATAATCAGAATCTAAAAGACCTTTTATTTCCACCTCTTCCATTTTTTTCAAAGTTGTAACTGCAGCACCCCATTCAGGTGAGTGTTCTGCCGCATCACAAACCTTGTTGCCTGCTAATACAGGGTTGTTCTTGCCAACTCGAATGAGTGAAATGCTGTTTTCTTCATCACCTCCCTCCTTTGCTTCTATGAACATTTGGATTGTATCCCTCAGGACTGTTTTGGTTGCAAATGAGGGAAACCCTACTCAAATCACTTTAAGCAAAAACAAATTGGTGTGCGTGGTGATGGTGGAATTAACTAGTTTCAGCCACTGGAAAGAATGCAGGAGTAACTCATAGAACTAGGACCTGAAACCAGGGACTAAAAGGAGCAAGCGCTCTACCTCTCAGCCTAGCTCTCTACTTCCTTTTTAAGATTAGCCTCTTTCTTTCCTAGCACAGACAGGTCGTCCTCATCTGGCAGGGAACATGGCCTCTGGCAGCCTCAGCTTTGCAACTGCTATAGAACAAGCATCCAGGTAGCAACCCCAGAGAAGGGCTGTGATTGGCTGTGTTGAGTCACAAGCCAACTCACTGGGCCAATCATGTTAACCATGCATTATAATTGGGCAGGCCTGATCACACGTCCATCCTTGTGGCCAGAGTGGTGACAGGGTCTGTTGCTTTCAGATAAAGGGGAATGAGAAGTCCTGCTGGGAAGTCAGAAAGCAACCATGGAGCCATTACAAAAGATTCTGTTTTTCACCATGGCAAGACTCGATAAACAACCTTGTACACTGAGTTCTTTGTTTTAACAATCACTTTTTGAGACATTCCCAAGGATAGGATTATTTTACAGTGTTTTTCAGACGCCATATAACATATCGGTGTTTTCAAAGCATGTTCATATCCAATATCTTATTTGTGCCTCATTAAAAATGCTGTATAAGTGACAGAAAAAGAACCAGCAACACAGAGAAGCTGAGTGATGGGTCAGGGACACTAAGTGGATGAAGGCAGAGATGAACATAGAGACTTCTTGACTCCCATTCCAGTGCTCCCTCCCAGTAACATCACAAACTTACACTAGTGGTGATGGTGGGGGTTCAAACCTATGCTCCTTTCTAGACAGTTAAGGAAGGGAGCTTCGTCTGCTGTCTACACCTTGGAGGAGCTGGGCCAGCCGCCTGGATGACATGGGCTTGTGACCCTGGCCTTCAGAGCCTGCTCGAGCTCTGATGGGTGAGGCCCCTCTGCTGGACATGGCATCCTCCCAGTGGGCACTCTCAGAACGCAGCTCCTCTAGGATGCTGTGAAGATGCGTCAGTGTGACCAGGAGCTTCTGGTCTTGGATCTGCATCTCAGCCTAGGAAAGAGAACAAGTCTGTGAGGAGGTGGGCACTGGATATTCCCCCAGAAAGCCCATTCGCATTATAGTCTCATCAGAAAACCCACAACCTCAAAGAAGCCGTTTCCACCAAAGCCTCAGTTTCTTCATCTGCAAAGTGGAAACCAAATTACTCACCTTTCAAGGTTCTTATTGTAGCCAGCTCAAAATGGTTCTATTCTGTTCTATGAGATGCTGACTTGCTTTTCAGACACAACAGACCAAGACCACAGTCATGCATCCAGGGCATGGTACAGAGGAGAGATCTTTGCCCTGCAGCTGCACCCAAAACCAGTCTCACCACCGTCACTATCACCAAAACGCCCCATGAAACCAAAGGACCAGAACATAACTGGAACTTGAACACTGGAACCCTTTCAGAAGTCAAGGGTCCATTGTCCAGGAAGATTTGGTATTGATGCCCCTTTACCATAAACAGCCAGGTTCCAAGGTCCTCTAATTAAAATGTGCCCCACCAGCACCAACCCTTTCCCATGGTGCCCTGAAATCCTTGGCCTCATCCAGAGAGCAAGATGGATCTGGGGCACCCCTAGGTCTCCCATCTTCTCAGTTGGTGCCTTCTTGATCAACAAACCTTTCCTTACTCAACCCTGACGTTTTGAGTTTTGGCCTTTTGAAGCATTGGGCATGCTGACTTTGGTCCAGTAACATTATGAAGACTGAATGAATTAGTTCCCCCTCTAGAAGATGACATGCTGAACTACCAAGGTCTGTGATTGTCTTCATCATCATCATCATCAAATATTCTTCTCCTTATTTACAACCCCACTTATATGCTATTGCCCTCACTGTAACAAATGGTTTTACAGGTATTAAGGGGATAGTGACTTCATGTGAAAGTGAAGGATACCCTGTGGGCAGGCAGGAGCCCTTTCGAGTACTGCTTCTCAGCACCAGGTCTGGGGAATCCTTGGGTCCCAAAAACCCTTTCAGGGGGTCAGCGAAGTCAATGCTACTTTCATTACAATACTAAGATATTATTGCCCTTTTAGGTTCACCCTATGGACACACTGAAGTTTCCCAGAAGCTCCGATATGTGAGATGGCATCAGACTGAGCGCAGAAGCAGGTAGACTCCAGCTGTGTTCTATTAAGGGAAACACTAAGGAGATTTGCAATGTGGTAAATCAGTGCCACTCTTCTCAGTAGATGTTCTCTTTGAAAAATGTAGATATTTTAGACAAAATATTTTATTAACATATGAGTTTACTACTGTTATTTTTAAATGCATAAATAAATAAATAAATGCTAAAACTTTCTCAGTTTCGATGTCTAATTCAATCAATATAGCTATAACTCACACAAGCAAGAGTTTTTTGGTGTCCTTAATCATTTTTAAGAGTGCAGAGGAGGCCTGGCCAGTGTGGCTCAGTGGACTGAGCATCGTCCCATGAACTGAGAGGTCCCAGTTTGATTCCCGGTCAGGGCACATGCCTGGGTTGCAGGCACAATCCCCAGTAGGGTGTGAGCAGGAGGCAGCCAATCGATGTTTCTCTCTCACATAGATGTTTCTATCTCTCTCTAAAAAAAAAAAAAAATCAATAAAAACGTATTTTTAAAAAAAAGAGTGCAAAGGGGTTCTAAGACCGAAACTTGAAGAACTGCTGCTTTAGGACTCTACCCTCACTCACCCATCTCCATTCCTCCCATTTTCCCCTGGGAATGGTTCCCCCACACATTGTTTTCTCTTATGCTTCCTCTTTTAAGATGCTAAAATTATCTTTCTGACTAGGTAATTCTTACACATGATATAAAGCTACAAAGAAGCATACAGTGTCAAGTGTCCCCCACCTCATCCCACTCCATGTGACCACTCGGTCTCCTCCCGCAGAGGTGACCACTGGGAATAGGTTTCCCTTCTGAAGCTGCCTGAGACTCAGCAGATCAGGTATGTGCATTCTCAACCTGTCTCTCTGTCTTTCTGTCTCTGTCCCCTCCTCTCTCTGTTCCTCTCTAAAAGATCGTTACTAACATTTCTCCATTAAAAATAGAATTTTTAAAGATTTTTATTATTACTTTTTAATCCTCACCAGAGGCTATGTTCTATTGACTGTAGAGAGAGGAAGGGAGGAGTAGAGAGGGAGAGAGAGAAACATTGGTTGGTTGCTGCCCGTATGTACCCCAACTGGGGATCAAACCTGCAACCTAGGTATATGTCCTGACAGGGAATCAAACCCACAACTTTTTGGTGCACAGGACAATGCTCCAACCAACTAAGCCACCTGGCCAGGGCTTAAATTTTACTTTCATGACAAACTAATTACTTTACAAATAAGAAGATAAAGCCCATTTCTTCCACCCCAGTAGCAGTAATACCACCAAGAGAGTAGACAGCTAAAAAGAGGAAACTTGAAGGTGACCACCCCTGAGACCACGCAGCCATCCCTTTCTAATTCCTGGGAAAATGTTGTCTGTGTTTTCTCTTTGGGGTTTTCCTCCCACACTTACACATTTTTTTTTCATCCAGCTCTTAGCACCAGCTCTGGGTATGTGTCCGTGAGGACCCGATGAGGCACGGAAGCAGTGTTAAGGGACGTGGTGGACTCTCTGTCTTTGGCTTTGAGGGCCCCAAACCCAGGCTAAACTGGCTCCACCAGCAGGGAAGTGTCCTTTCTCACAATGCAGAGGTGCGGTGCGGAGGCCAGCTCCGGGCTCGGCTTGCTCAAGCTTTGCAGTGTGCAGCTCTGTCCTGATGAACGCCCCTTAGTCATCAGCTGGTTTGTTCGCTCCCCTCTTTTAGATCTCACCAGGACTTGGGGGCTTATATGATCCCGGGCAAGGAGGGTGAGCACTGGACTTTGGTCCATGGTAGTTGTTGGTGTTACTGATTTTTTTCCTTCTGCTGCACGAAGTGACTGTCTAGTGTTGGTCCTTCCCTGACAGTCAAGTGGGGCTCCTTGGCTGGGCTCCAAGGGGACCTTATGGAGTTATGTAAACTGCATGTGACTGGGCAGTTCACAAGTCAGGAATTAGCAAGAGGATACTCAAGGCCCCCATCTTTTGGCATCATGTGCAGGGAGATGCCTGAGCCTGGGGGCGCTGTGCCCCACATAGGCTTCCCCCACCTGCCTTGCTCCTCCTCTCTATGGGGTGTGAGAGAGAGGTACTTTATCAGCTGGAAAGTGGCATTTTGGGTTCAGGCACCAAACAGTCTCAGCATGGGTGCCCAGTATTTAGGGAAGCATGGGAAGGCCCACAGGCCAGTCTCTGGGAGCCCGAGGATTATAAAAAGCACCAGTTCCTGCTGCTGGAATCCCCTGATCCCAAGAGAAGCCCTACTGAGGCAGCCCCCCTGCTGCCGCCCACCCTGGGTGAGGATGGGGTTGAATCCCAGCTAATCTGTTGTGTGGCAATCCAGAAAGGTAATTTTTGGACAATCCTGTGTATCTTTCCCCAGAAGGAGAATCTGGCGTATTGGGACATAAACTTTGGGTTCCTTCTGAGGCTCCCTAAACCACCTCCTTCTTGATCTTAACTGTTATCCTCATACACTTAACTGATATCCTCAGGCACCCTTTCTGGTTTTGAACTTGGAGAAAACACCGCAGGGAGAGGCATACAGCCTAGCAGCCACCACGAAACTAAGAAACATAACTCAGGAGAGTTAGCTCAGTTCAGGAGCGGCAGTGCTCCCTGGGTGGACCTTTACCAACAGGCAATGGGAGACAAGAATGAGCAGGGCAGATACATTTCCTTTCTTTCTCCCTCCCCCAGGGTGCAGATCCCCCTTCAACCCTTGCAGAGAAACCCTGCAGCCAGATTAGTCAGCTGCTGAGAGAGCCACAGGGCCTCCTTAGGACTCCTGCAGTGGCAGTCAGCTCGGTAAGGCCGGGCATCGCCTCGCCTCTCTGGCAGAGTGATGGCTTTTGCCTCCACTCCCTGCGTTCTTCACTCTCACTGCTCTGGGCTTGCACCTCCAAATAAGTCATTAGTACTCCAATCTTCGTGCAAGCCTCTGCTTTATTACAATCCTGACCCAGGTGGACATAGTTCACCCTGGCTAAGACAGTGCGTGCACTCCACGTCCACCTTGGTCAGGATCGTGATGGCCAAGTACATGTGCCAAGCAGACACTGAGTGGATTATACCATCTCCTCACCGAATTCTTAGAGTAACCCCTGCAGTGTCGGTACTATTGTTCTCCCCGTCTTATGATAAGTAAACTGAGGCTCAAAGAGGTAAAGCCACTTCTAGAAGGCACACAGCAGCAGAGTTGGGCACATACCCAGGCCTCAGCGTAATTTCTAAAACCAGTCTGGCAAGCAGTGCACCCAGAGCCGCCTATGTAGGCCGTGACCTACTTATCCGTGCACCTGAGACGCGATTGTGCACTGCGTGGCTGGTCCCAGAGGGGTGCCTGCGGGGCCTGCACCCCAGCTTGCAGCCTCTGTCCAGCTGATGGGGCATCTGGGAAGGGGGACCAGCAAATCTTGGAATATATGGGGTGAAGGCGTCAGGTAAAAAGAAATGCAAAGCCTTACCAGCTCCTTCCTCAGCCACTCCAGGGTCTGTCCAAGATTCGGGGTTGGCTCTTCTGTTTTCATCTCAGTACCCTTGGGAGAGACCTTGACGCTGATCTATCTGGTGATGGGCCTGACAAACCTTTGACTCATACAGTCTCCTGCCTGCTCCAGGCTGAAAGCAGAATCTGGCCAAGTCACTGAGGATGAAGTTAATGAGACCAGGAAGTGGCTCACATTGGAAAATTTAGCGTTTTTTTTTTTTAAAGGGCTTCGGTGCTCTGAAGAGAAAAAGGAGGGAGGGCAGAAGGGAGACCATTGGGCAACGGTGCCTCATGCCTGCGAGTTCCAGAATCCAAGATCTGATGCCAGTAGGATCCCAGAGACTGTAAAGCTTTACGTGATAAAAACAATAATTATTATGGGAAAAGGTGTCCCCTGCTGAGGGCTCTAAGTGACACATATATACATCTGTAATCTCTCTCTGTAAAATATATATTTCTATTATTTATAAATAAAACCTCATTTGTTATATATTATATAATATGTACTATATACAATAGATGTTATATATATATACATCCATATATATATACACATACATATATATATATATATATATATATATATACACACACTCCATCTGTGTCCCCCATCCCCTCCCTCCATTTCTCACCTATCCATAGAGTCTAGATAAAGGGAAATGCTCACTCTCCAAGTCCGCTTGCTTCTGGGATGTCCAAATGTCCCATTTGCAGCAAATGAGATCAAAACAGAAATTTGCTGTTAGACTTCTAGGAAAACTTTTACCTAGTTGATAAAAGGAAAAATGTCAACAACGCTCCTCCTTTATTCCTACTTTCTTCCCCTTCTTTCTGACTTGAATGGGATGTGGTGCCTGGAAATACAGTAACCCTCTTGCAACCCTAAGACAAAGGCCAGTAAACTTCATAGGCTTTGAAGTCACCGAGTCACAGAATCACCATCGGCATCTACCTGTTTTGTGAGACAGTGAACCCCATTTTTAACTGGGCAAACACAGTCCTAATCAACACACCATTTGTTCTTCTCAACATGCTATGAAGTATATATCATTTAATCCTCTTTCAGAAAACACTTACCGAGTGCCTACTGTGTACCAAGTTCGGCTGCAGATGCTGGGGATATTACTCAAAATCAGAGACTAAGGTCCTGCTTGCCTGGAGCTGGCATCAGAGTGGACAAAAAGGGACAAACAATAATCAAATTCATACTATGATGAAAACAATTAGGACCTATTCTCATGTAGGGTTTTTAACCATTTTTTATCCTATCCACATGAGCTAGGAACCCAAACTAATAATTAACATAGTGATCCCAGATAAACAGCTGAGGTAACTCACAAAACAAACTCAACCCATTTTGGAGGGAACACCCTCAACCCAGGCTACACAAGCTGTCCATAGATAAAACTCCCCTAAAGATGAACTTGAACTTATAACCCAAAATTACAAAACACACAAGGAAACAAGCCACCATAAGTGAGAGTCAGCAGACACCTTCAACAGCAAGATTGGACCCTTCCTCCCCTAATGAAGATAATGAAGATAATGAAAAAGTATTTCCAAAAGAATTAAAGTCATACAGGAAGGAATAAAAAAATAAGAAAAAAAACACTTTTTAAATTTTATTTTAAAAAGTATGTTTTCGATTTTCTTAGAGAGAGAGGAAGGGAGAGACAGGTAGAAACATCAAAGTGAGAGAGAAATATCGACCAGCTGCCTTCTGTGCACCCCCTGCTGGGGATTGAGCCCGAAACCCGGGCATGTACCCTAACCGGGAATCAAACCAGGACCTCTCAGTCCATGGGACGATGCTCAAACCACTGAGCCACACCAGCTAGGCAAGACACTATTTATTTTTTTTATTTTTTTATCCTCACCCACAGATATTTTTTCATTTATCTTCAGATGGAGTGGGAGAGAGAGAGAGAGGGAGAAACATTGATGTGAGAGGAACACATCTATTGGTTGCCTCCCGTACAACCCTAACCAGGGCCGGGACCCAACTGCAACTGAGGTATGTGCCTTTGACCAGAATCGAACCTGCGGCTCTTTGGTCTGAGGGCTGATCCTCTAACCACTGACCCAAACCAGCCAGGGCAAGACACTATTTATTTTTTGTTGTGGTTTGTTTGTTTATCCTCACCCGAGGACATTTTTCAATTTTTTGGTTCCGATAGAGTGGAAGGGAAAGAGAGGAAGAGAGAGAGAAACATCGATGTGAAAGGGACACATCGAGTGGCTGCCACCTGCACGACCCAACCAGGGCCGGGGACAAACTGCAACCGAGGTACATGCCCTTAGCGGGAACTGAACCTGGGTCTCTCGGGACTGCAGGCCGACGCTCTAACCGCTGAGCCAAACCGGCCAGGGCAAGACACTATTTTTTTAAAAGGCAGATTTGACAGATTGGTAGTTGCCAGAGTTGGGGGGGAGGGGAGCAAAATGGGTAAAGGTCGTCAAAGGTACAAACTTCCAGTTATAAAAGAAATAAGTCATGGGATGTAATATACAGCATGGTGACTATAGTTAACAATACTGGGTTGCATATTTGAAGTTGTTAAGAGAGCAAATCTTAAAGCTTTCATCACAAGACAAAATATTCTATAACTATGTATGGTGATGCATGTTAACTAGACTTATTGTGGTGGTCATTTTATAATACATACAAATATTAAATCATTATGTTGTATACTTGAAACTAATACAGTGTTGTATATCAATTATACCTCAATAAAAAGGCAGACTTGAAAAAGAAATTAAAAGAATTTATAGAAGTAAAAGTTATAGCCAATATTTATAAATTAAAGAAAAAAGTGCATATTTAGTGCAGCTTTGGAATATAGAGCTAGGGCAGTGGGTACAGGACGCAGGGAGGCAGATTGGGACTCAGTAGGAGGAAAGCATTGCTTGGAATCCTTCCAAGCAGTAGGCACTCAGTGGAGCATGGAAGCACAGCCCAGATGGTCAGGGAGGCTGGAGAAGGGGCTTCACTGCTCAGCAGTGGGACCTGGGCCTCCTTCCCAGTCTAAGATGGACTGGGCATGAGAAGGGGTGTTGGATAGGAAGTCAGGACACCTGGGTTCTAACCCAGCTCTACCAAACTTTCTTTGTGAACTTAGACCACATCTTTTCCATCTTTGGCATAATGAGACTCAAAGGAGTTACTAAATTGAGTTGTAAGAAATGTCACATTCCTTGTACATTAGGGTTTACAGTCTGAGATGCATGCTGATGACCACATGCAGAGAAAATTGTATATCCAATTTCTCCTTGTCCAGTTGTCACCCTTTAGAACCAAAGAGGATCTGAGAGACTCTTGCCTGCCATATTCACAACCCTTCTGAACACAGGGGCCAGAAATCATTTCTTCTCGGCAGGTCACCATGCTTTGTGCCACATTACCCTGTAATTATGGGGCAACTGCCTGGATCAGAGATGGAGGCCCTGCCCGAGGAAATCATCTACAGACTAGAAGGAAGGAGACCCTCGGCTTGTGGCTGACTGGTGTGAAAGGAGCTGTGTTCCGGCTGGTGACCAAATCAGATCTCTTGGAGAAGGAGAATTTACCACAGGTACAGAGGTTGGATTGTCACAAGGACACTGTCACAAATCTCTCCAGAACTCCATTCTTTCAAACAACAATAGTTTAATTTTGCTTTTGAGCTTATGGGTTGGTGGGATGGTCTGCATCAGACTTCATAGCTGCAGATTGGAGCCTGCTTCATGGGTCTCTTGTCCTCCTCCAGGAATCGCTGGGCCACTGGGGCGTGTTCTTCCCTTCTCAATGGCAAAGGAGAAGAGAGCAAGTGGAACCACGTGAGGCCTCTGAGGGCCAAAGCTTAGAACTGTCAACTGTCACTTTCACCACATACCATTGAGCCAAGTGAATCACTTGGCCAAGCCCAAAGTTAGGGGGCAGGAATGTGCACTCTACCTAGGAAGAGGTCACATCAAGTGTGTGGAGTTGAATAAAGTGCTCATACAGCTCAACAAAAGGAAGACAAACAATCCAAGTAAAAAATGGGCAGAAGACCTGAATAGACACTTCTCCAAAGAGGACATACAAATGGCCAAGAGACATATGAAGAAATGCTCAATGTCACTAATCATCAGAGAGATGCAAATTAAAACTCTGAGGTATCACCTCACACCTGGAAAAATGGCCGCCATCAACAAATCATCAAACAACAAGTGCTGGCGAGGGTGTGGAGAAAAGGGCACCCTAGCACACTGCTGGTGGGAATGCAGACTGGTGCAGCCACTGTGGAAAACAATATGGTGTTTCCTCAAAAAATTAAAAATGGAACTGCCATTTGACCAGCGATTCCACTTCTTGGAATGTATCCTAAGAAGCCTGAAACACCATTCAGGAAGAATATATGCCCTATGTTCATAGCAGCACTATTTACAAAGCTAAGATCTGGAAATAGCTCAAGTGTCCATCAGTAGATGAATGGATAAAAAAAAAAGCTGTAGTACATTTACACAATGGAATACAATGCAGCTGTAAGAAAGAAAGATCTCTTACCCTTTGAGATGACATGGAGAGACCTGGAGAACATTATGCTAAGTGAAATAAGCCAATCATCAAAGACAAATCTCACTTATTTGTGGAATATAATGAACAAAATAAGCTGACAAACAAAATAGATCCAGAGACATAGAAGTAGGGAACAGACTGACAAACCTCAGAGGGAAGGGAGGTTAGGAAGAGATAAACCAAAGAACTTATATGCATATATGTACAATCAATGGACACAGACAACTGTGTGGTGAAGGCGGGGCAGGGGAGGGGGATGGGAGCGGGGAGGAAGATGTCAAGGGAGGTAAGGGGAACATTTGTAATACTTTCAACAATAAAAATACATTTTTAAAAAAATGTGTGGCGTTGGGAAGGGGTGAAGAAGTGAGACCAACGATTCTACACCAGGAAGGGAGTTAGTTCAGAAGTGGGCCCGAGGCCTGGAGGGGCCCAGAGGGAAGGTGGCAAGCAGAAATCAGCAGGTGGCAGGAGCTGGAGACGGGAAGCATGGCTGGGCGGCAGTAGCAGGAGACCCAGAAAGATTCAGAGACTTGACAGATAATGTAGGATAATTAACATTTATTGATCTCTTACTGCAGACCAGGTATCATACTAAGCCCTTGCCATACATAACTTCATTTCATCTTCAAAATCTTTTTTTTTTTAATCCTCACCCGAGGATATTTTTCCACTTATCTTCAGAGAGAGTAGAGAGAGAAAGAGAGAAACATCAATGTGAGAGATTGCCTCCTGCACAACCCTGACCAGGGCCGGACACCGAACTGCAACCAAGGTATGTGCCCTTGACCGGAATTGAACCCAATACTCTTTGGTTCGTGGGCCAATGCTGTGACGGCTGAGTCAAACTGGCCAGGGCCATCTTAAAAATCTTATGGCTGCAATTCCCAGACCATGTGCCAAGGCATCCTGAGGCATGACAGAAATCTCACGGAGTCACTGCAAAATATTTTAAAATTTCAAGAGAAACACAATAACATCTGTTGGGTACTGTGCACACTACAATGATTAAATAACTAAATAACTGCCAGGCATTTCTTTGGGCCTCGTGCACTGTCAAAAAATTACTGAAATGCTAAGGGTGCTATGAACTGAGAAAGTTTAGGAACCTCTGACCAAGATGGAGCTACCATTGTTATCTACATTTTATAGTTGATTACAGATAGATCCAATTATTAGCCCTTTTTACAGATGAGGAAACTGATGCTCAAAGAAGCACGGATTTTCAGAGGATCACCCTGAAGATAAGCAACAGGTGTGGAATTAGAACCTCTTCTCCCTGACTTCTGTGGGAGGTCTTGCTTTGTTGCCTTGAAGTGATAGACAGCCAAGTGGGGGCTCAAGTCAGCCACCTGCTGACCTCCCGGGCAGGCCCAGTGGGTTCTCTGCCCAACACAGCAGTGGGGTTGATAGGAAAGCGTGGCAGTTAGAGTCGGTGCTCTATCCTTGGCCACCAGGGCAGCCACCTATTTACCCGGGAAAGCCATTTCTCGTGGTTAACTTGTTTTGATGCACTTTCATTTATTTTTAATCCCACTCTTAGGATCCTGGCTCAGAGCACATTTTATTTCGTAGGCTTAGAAAGGCTTGGCACATGGGCATATGGGAAGGTGGAGCCAAGAGGGCTGGAAAGGAAAAGAACTTAAACTCTAAATAATAAAAAATGTCTTCACCAAATACAAAAGCCAGAATTGCCACCTATTCACCATCCAGGGGCAGCTAATACTATAGCTCATGTGCATCTGACCCTGCACTGGATGCTGGGGGTACAGGGATGCTGGGGGTACAGCGGTGAGCAAGAAAGTCCTTACACCTGACCTCGTGGGCTTATGGTCCAGCTAGTGAGACAATTCATTTGTACAATGGATCAAAAATTGTACTTTATACCACAAGCCTGGCACATATATGTGTAAAATGAATATATGACTGAAGAAATGAATTTGCAAATGAAGAAACTATGGCTCAGATGAATATATGAGTTGCCCAAGCAATTGAGTAGCTGTAGCAGAAATAGGTTGTCTTTCGATACCCCTTCTCCGAATCACAGCAAAAGACACTGTTCCCAGTCTCCCTTGCAGGTAAGTGTGGCCATGTGATTAAACCCTGGCCAATGGGATATGAATGGGAGTGATTTGTGCCATTTCTGGGTTGTGCCCTTAAAGGAAGGAGAAGGGTTCCTGCCTCTTCCCCTGTCCTCCTGCTGACTGGAATGTAGCCATAAGGGCTGGAGGTGGTGCAGCCATCTTGATGGCAGAGCAACAAGATAGAAGGACCTCAGGTCTCTTGAGACAGGTGAAGCCACCATGCCAGGCTTAACTTCCAAGTATACTTTTACAAGAGACAGATTAAGTTCTGTTTTATTAAAACACGATTTTTTTCATCCCTTTAATACAGAAATCAAACCAATGTCCTAAAAATGTGGCAGCAGAAGTCAGGTCCCTTGACCTCCCCGACTCAGGCCCGTTCTATAACCCTCCCACCTGTCTATTTTATTTTCTTCCAAGGCTTTTCTTATTCATGACCTGATCTGCTCCTCACAACAGCTCTGTGAAGTTCATAGCAGAGAGAGGACTTCCATGATGCTTACAGCGCAGACAGGAAACCTGAGGCGTGAGTTGTAGGTGACCTGCCCTGAGGCACATGGGCAGAGTTCCCCTCGTTTCATGGATGGGGCAAGTGGACTCAGACTGGTCATCTAGCTCTGCCTCCATTTCTTACTCCCAGTCTAGGGCTCTACCCACCCTTGGGGCTGACCCCTCTCCTATTCTAGGCACCTTAGCCCTCTCCCCTATTTAGTAAAATAAAAATGAGGTAGATGTTTAGCAGAGAGAAGCTTCCACATGTTAGAGTCCTCAAACCCTCCCCTGCTCCCTTCCTCCCATGTGAGCATATGCCATCGTGCCAACCAGGAGTGTGGGGAAGGAGTGCAGTTGTCTTGGGGGTCCCCACACTGCCTCTTCTTCTGTAGCTGTTTATCCCCTTCCAGTGGGTTCCCCCTTTGACCTAGACAAGCAAAGCCAGTAAGCCAATCACGTGTCTTCTGCCTTTGTTCTGTACCTGTGTACTCACGGGCCCTGAGCACGTGCTCTGTACTTCTGTATTCTATAGAAAATGCTGCCAGGGCCCCATCCGCACCCCTCAACACTCACCTTCTCCATATGTGCCCAAGGCTTCCCACTGCACAACACACGACTCTCTGCTTAAGGAACATGCTTGACCTGTGCAGAGGAGAGGCTGGAAATGCTGGGAACAGCCCTTCACAGTGACAGTCAGGTGTTGCAGATAAACACCTCCCTTCCCTTGGCTCCTAGGTAGGACAATACTCAGTCCAGCAGGATTGACCTCCAGTTGTCCACTGCGGTCACGTGCTCATCAACACACCTGCAGTGCATGGGAACCTTCCCTTCCTGCCTCACTTCCCCAGTCTTCTACTGTGCTTCCCGGGACCACCTCCCAAAGAAACCCCTTGCCCTCAAATTCTTGTCTCAGTTCTAATTCTGGGAGAACTCAACCTATGACACGTCCTATCCACATGTGCCTTGTACACGAGTCTGGAGTACCTCTTTAAGAGCACACCTGTGCTGGACATGAGTGTCCTGTGTATGGGTATTCGGACCTTCTGTTCTGTACACAGGTTCCCTGTGTACATGTGTCCCACACATATCAGTTCTATGCCCAGTACATAGCCCCATGTCCTTAAGTCAGGGAAGCATGGCCTCTGACCCCGCTGAGGTGGTAGAGACTCCGGTGAAGCAGAATGGGAAAGTGGGAAGAGTGTCCCTTGGCAAGTTTCCTAGTTGATTTCAGCCACAATTCCCTCTCCAGGTGAACTCCAAATTAGCCAGCTGTCAGAGTTGGGGTGGGGGGGCCAGGTAGATAACACACATGAAGCCCAGCAAGGGTCTGGACCACAAGAGGTGCCCCAGCAAGGCCCCTCCTCCCCTCTTCTTGGGCTCACCCTCTCCCAAGGGAATGGCTTTAGATCCAGCTACCCCAATGCCTCCAGTGCAAGGGCTCTGTGCTGGCCTGGGGAGGGCACATGGATGAGAGAAGACAAGGCCCCCGTGCTCATGGAACTGCCAGGAGGAGGCGCTTGCTCTTCCATGGGCTGGGAAAGTGGATCTCGGCTTCCCTCTTTCTCTTTCCAGGGTAGGGAGAGATCTCAGCACCCAGGTTTTTCATTCCCCAAGGCTGAGGGCTTCAGACAGACCAGATGGAGAGGAAGGGAATGTCAGCTGGGCTGGCTACAGATGTGCATGTGAGTGGTCACTCCCTACAGGACTGGGCCATGGCCACCAATTCCTTACCTCAAATCCCTGAACTAGGTCCCATCACCGTGATATCAGGACTGCTCCATGAAAGCATCAGAGTTCCAGGGAAACCAGATGAGCCGGGCTGGTGCCAGAGGGTGAATATTAAACAAGTAAACAGACACCAGATTCAGCAAGGCGCTCAGAGACAGATGACACTGAATGGGGTGGGGAGAGGGTGCATGTGGCTGATCAGCTCTGGGACTCTAGGTCTAGCTGAAGTCCCCAAATCAATGTGGAAATCAGGGCCTTTTGGTTCAGCTTATACTTGTATTAACCCTCAGTGTGGCCATAGGACGATTTCTTCTTCTTGTTACTCCATTTTCTCAAATGTAAAATTGGGGATCGTATTAACAATCAGGAATTTTGTCCAGCCGGTGTGGCTCAGTGGTTGAGCATCGACCCATGCACCAAGAGGTCACCGGTTCGATTCCCAGTCAGGACACATGCCCGGGTTGTGGGCCAGATCCCCAGTGGGAGACATGCAGGAGGCAGCCAATCGATGTTCTCTCTTATCAATGTTTCTCTCTCTCTTTCCCTCTTCCTTCCTCTCTCTCTAAAATTAATAAAGGGAAAAAAATAAAAAAACAATCAGGAATTTTGCACGTGCTTTGAAAATTATGATGGAACCCAGTACAGAGGTTATGAGCACTGGGCTGGGAACTGGATTTGAATCCTGGATCTAGTGTATACCAGCTGTGTGACCTTGGGCTAGTTTTCAACCACTCTGTGTTTCTGTTTCCTCATTACAAAATAGAGACAATAATAGTACCTACATGATAAGGTGGTTAAGAGGATTACGTGAGTTAATATTTGCAAAGCACTTAGAACAGTGCCTGGCCTACAGGGAGGCCCATTTAAGTGGTTGTCAACTAAAATAAACACACATGTAATTGGTTACTATTACTTCATCTCTGAGCCTGTTAAGTGTTGTTCCCTCTTCCAGGAATATTTCTCCTTTCTCCCCCTTCCTTCACCTAGAGAAATTTCCATCTTACCTGGGCTATTCTTTTGTTATCACCCTCCTGGACACCCTGCAGCTGTTTTCAGAGTTTTTCACCTGGAACACAGGGGGGTCATATTTGATCTGCATTTTTTTTTTTTTTTATCCTCACCCGAGGAAATTTTTCCATTTTCTGTTCAGGTAGAGTGGGAGGGAGAGAGAGGAACAGAGAGAGAGAGAGAAACATCGATGTGAAAGGAACACATCGAGTGGCTGCCACCCGGACAACCGACCAGGGCCGGGGACAAACTGCAGCCGAGGTACGCGCCCTTAGCGGGAACCGAACCCGGGGCCTCTCAGGACCGCAGGCCGATGCTCTAACCGCTGAGCCAAACCGGCCAGGGCTGATCTGCATTTTTTAAACTTCAGCTACTCATATACCTCCTCCTCAATTGTTACCTATCATCTCTGCCTTGATTTACTTATATTTGTCTTTAAATCAATCATTCAGATAGGAATAGTTTTTTTCTGAGTGACAGAACATCTGAAGTAACAGTAGCTCATACAAGACAGGAGTTTATTTCTCTAACAAATAAAAGTATGGGAAACTATCTCAGGGTGGTGTTTCCATGTTGCTCACCAACCTAACATCCTTCCACCTCATGGTCCAAGATGGCTGCATCAGTTTCAGCCATCACATCTGCATCCTGTCAGCAGGAATGACTAAAGGGGTTAAAGAACACTTAACATATTTTGCCCACACCACCTACTCTGATATTCTAATAGCTTGTTGTCCACTTGGTCAGACCTAACTGCAAGGGAGGCTGGGAAATAAATTTTTTTTTTATCCTCATCCAAGGACATTTTTTCCATTTTTTGTTCAGACAGAGTGGGAGGGAGAGTGAGGAAGAGAGAGAGAGAGAAACTCGATGTCAAAGGGACACATCAAGTGGTTGCCACCCACACGACCCAACCAGGGCTGGGGACAAACTGCAACTGAGGTACATGCCCTTAGCGGGAACCGAACCTGGGTCTCTCTGGACCGCAGGCCAACGCTCTGTTGAGCAAAACCGGCCAGGGCGGAAATGGAATTCTTATGTTGAGTGTACTGTGCTAGCTATTGATCAAGGATTATATCCCAGTGGGAGAAAGGGAAAGTGGCTATTGGGAGAAACCAGCAGATTATATGTTGTCCCAACTTTCTACCCTCACTCTAAGTACTATTATCCATGATATCTTTAGTTTCATGAGCTAGCTATATATTTTTTCTAGAACATATTTGAAAATGCCTAGCCACTAAAATGAATACATACATACATACATGAGTGTGTGTGTATAAATATAGATAAAGTGTAGACAGTTGTAGACTGTTACTGCTCCCAGTGATCCATGCCTCTTGGTATTTATATCCATATATAGACCCTTTCCCTTGAATCTGGGCTGGCCTCTGACCTGCAGTAAACCAACAGACTGCAGCAGAAGTGACCTGTGTCTGCTCTAACCCTTAACTTTAAGAAGCTCCGATAGCTTCTTTTTTTCCCTTAGGAGAATTGAGTACCATATAAGAACTCTGACTACCTTGAGACCATCCTTGTGCGAGGAAGCCCAAGCTAGCACCTGAGAAATGGTGTGGAAGAGAAGAGAAAAACCCTGTTGACAGTGAGAACTAAGTCCCCAGATACAGGGGCAAGCCTGAACATTGCCAGTCAGCTCCTAGCTGTTTGTACCCCCCATGGACACCAGGAAGAGCAGAATGAAGCTGTGTCCACCAGATCCAGCCCAAACTGCAAAACTGAGCAAATGAATGATGATTTTTTTTTAAGCTGCTATGTTTTGGGGTAATTATCCAACAACAGATAACCAAAATACATTTATCTATATAACATCTAAAATCATGTTACATACCACTACCCGTTGGAAAATTCTGGATTAAGTGATGTTCTAATGTTCTACAAGAGGTCTCTGTTCTCTCTCTCACAGACCCACACACTTCACAGATACATAACTGCAGTGAATTGATTAAGGACTTAACGCACTCTAACATGACCACAATAACTTCCCAAATGGTCTCTGTTTTCTCTCTTGACCCCTTGTATCTGAGGGAGAATGAGCAGAGAGAGAGAGGGAGAATGTTTTCAAAATGCAAATCTCTCTCCTGCTCATCATTACCCACTGCAATGTCCACACAGGGTCTCATTAGGTTCAACTACACCCTCAGACTCAACAGATGATCTCAAGCCACACTTGGCATTGACCTACGCAATGAGGACACAGGACAGGAACCTCAGCTTGCTAGCGTGGCACTTAGCATCAGCCTCCTCTCCCAGTGGCAGTCCTTGCTGCCATCCAGCACAGCAGGACAGTCTGGGTGCAAGGGATGAGATCCCCATCCAGTGCAGCTGCCATCCTCGCTTAAAAGTTTCACGTCCTACGGAACATCTTTGGACTGCCCCATTACACGAGTTGCCATGCTCATGAAGCCCAAAGTATAATTTCTTGCCATGCATTTATAATTCTTCCCAGCCCAGATGTAATTTACCAGTCAGAGGTCTTGACAAAAAAAATAATAACTTTATTTTTTAGAACAATTATACATTACAGCAAAAATGGGAAGATAGAACAGAGAGTTCCATATAGCCCACACTCTGTCTGCTCTATTAATTAATTAATTAATTTATTTATTGGTACATGCCCCGAGCAGAAACCGAACCCGGGACTCTCTGGTCCGCAGGCCAATGCTCCAACCGCTGAGCCAAACCAGCCAGGGCTGTCTGCTCTATTATTAACACCTTATATCTGTAGGATACATTTATTATAATTAATAAACTAATATTGATACATTATTTGCTAAAGTCCTTTCTTCAGCTTTCTTTAGTGTTTACCTAGTGTCTTTTTTCTGTTCCAC